TATAATTCCAAAAGCAAATTACTGCATGTGTTGAAAATGTGAATTCAAACAGAACATGCTGGAGACTCTCAACTGGTCTGGCAGTATCTAAGGTGAGAGAAACAGAGAGAATGCACCGGATTTTCAGTTTTGGGATCCTGCTTTCAAAATGATTTATGAATAGTGAGCAAAGATGGCATTATAGCTACAGACACAATGCAATTTTGAAAGGCCAATCATGATTCATGGCTTGCCTTTCAATGGCTGGTAGGACTCTGAAAACTGCAGGGTCTATAAGGGAGCCTGAAGAATTGAAGGAGCTGTAGCCCACTGATACAGGTGTGAGAGACACAGAGAAGGTGCTTCAAGATGGAAGCAGTCTTTCAGCACCTCTCACAGATATTTTCATAGACAGTTATGGCACAGCTTTTGGAGCAGGTGGGACTCCTGCTTCAGAGGCAGGGATACTTCCACTGCACCTCAAAAGCTGTCACTCAACACTTTTCATAAATTAGAAGATATAAATGGCTGCAGCTGTTAGACTGCCACCATCAAGGGAAAATACCCCCATAGGGTAGCCTATGACTGCAGCTCTGACTACACATGTGGCCAGGTAGGTATAGCTTCTATGGGGAGACCAGGTCAGGGTGGGGTGGGGGGGAGGAGATGGTAGCGGGCGGCTATTCGAGGGGCCATGGGAACCTCAGTTTGACTTGGGATTGCTGCACCCATCCTAAGTCAGCGAACTGGAGACTGCCTTTAGACATTTGGCTCACACCCATGTGATAGACTGAGCATGCCCAGTTGGTCACTGATCGTTGGGCTTAACTAGCCTTTTAATGATCTTAACTGCTGCTTGCAAGGAGGTAGCTATCAGCCTACCCATACTTCCCACTTCAAAATGGCTCAGGGGTGGAATGCTGCTGATCACACAAGAATTTCTGGTACAGCTGACTCCATTCCATTTGGGTTTCCTAAATCCAGTGCAATTTTTCAGGTAGATGACCTGTTGTCAGAACTGGCACAAATTAGAGACATAACTGGTTTTAAGCAAAGGTAGAGACGTCCAAAAGAATCTGGGGTAGATGAGGTAAAGCCAAGTCTTTGGTAGGGTGCAAGGCAGGTGAGATTAACAGACAACAGAATTGATGGTGAAAGGTAAAACAGAATGATCCGGGGACAAGACAAGTAGCAAAAGATGGACTTGGAGGTGAAATAAATGGAAAAATACAAGATTATCACCAGCTGTTCAAAAAAGCACATATGGTCAAAATAAACGCACAAAAAAAAGGTTGGATAGAAGTTATATTGTGAAATTGTTGAATGCTTAGTCTGGAACACTGCAACATCAAATGGTGAGATGCTGGTCCTTGAGTTTACCTTAAGCTTCATCATAGCAATATTGAAAGATGCCAGACTAGGAATCTAGAATTAAAAAAGCAGAAGACTGGAAACTCAGAGTCACCTTGACATGGATGTGTTCCACACAACAATCACCCTGTTTTCATTTGCAATAAGCTTTTAGGAAGGTTAATGGTGTGTCGGCCTTCATTGCAAGAAGTTTTGAGTGCAGGAGCAAGGAAGTCTTACTGCAGCCTTGGTGAGGCCACATTGAGATTATTGTGTGCAGTTTTGGTCTGCTTACTTAAGAAAAGATAAACTTTAGATAAGGGAGTGAAGTGAAGGTTTACCAAATTGATTCCTGGGATTGCAGGTTTGCTGAGAGAAAGTTGGTTGAGAAAGCTAGGACAGTCCATGGGGCTTATGGTGAATATTTGATGATAGTGTACTCCCAGAGACAGAGAAGGTGAAGAAGGAAAAGTGTGAGTTGAAAATTGATCATTTGGAGGTAAGGAGTTGAAAGCAAGTTTGATGAATGTTTCTAGTTCTGTTCAAGAACAGGAAATGGCATTGATACAGTTATCTAGATACCGGAAGAAGAGAAAGTGAGGCAGCTGAGTAGAACTGGAACAAAGATACCTCACAAAAATGCCAGCATTACCTATGACTTGAATAGGTTCTTATAGCAACCACTTTATGTGGAGGAGCTGTGTGGAATTTAGGGTGAAGTTTTTTAATGTCAACAAGCAGGTGACGTTAGGGCCAGGTAACTGGCAAGTGGTAAAGTGGTGGAGGGAATTGGAAGAGATGCAGGCCTAGGGTGGAGGGGGGAATGGGGGTGAAGAATGGACAGGGGGAAGAAATTGAGTAGGAAGAGATCAGTTCTGTGGAGCAGGCACATGTGGAAACAATAGGTCTACCGGTGCAATCCTTTTTGCAGAACTTCAGAAGGGAGTGGAAGGGGACTGTTCGGGTTTGGTACAAATGCTACATGCATTCAGATAAAGAGCTTTAAACTTTAACATTTTCATCATTATTATCTATTCTGGTTCTAACTTCTGCTGCACTTTCTATTTACATTTTCTGCCACTTCCTGTCACATTGATGATAACTTCTTCATTGCCCTGCATTTTTGGTCTCTCATTTTTTTTTTGATTTTTATGTTTAAACTTTTCTGGAATTGAATGCTCCCAACCCTTGTTAATCACTATGAGGTTAAGACCATGGATGGAAGCTCTCTGGAGGAGTTGAGGCCAGCAAAAGTCTTACAAATAATAGCTTGCTGTTCAATGGTTGCCTTATGACCCAAGGAGATGTGGGTGTCGGTGTTGGAGAATTAGATTCCACCTTTTCTTAGGTCATATTAGTTTACCAAGCAACAACTGTGGCCTTGTCAACAGGTTCACTGGCAATGTTAGGGATGGACCTGAGAGAGTGGAGTGCAGTGTGTTCAATGGAAATTAGAATGAATGAGGGGAACAGAGAAATTGAGGTGACCAACATTGCACTGTAAATTTTCAATAAACATAGAATAATTTGGCTTTTATGTTCATTATGGTTTAAATTATGCACCAAATTTGAGATCACTATCTGAAGGAATGAATAGACTCCAGTTTCTTTGAATGAAGGCCACAGATTTTGCCCTTGGTTCATCTCAAGCCGATTGTAGCTGTTATTTTTAGTGCACCAAGACCACAAGTAAATAAAAAAATGAAAGATGGGAGTCGAGTAGTTCATTACCAGGAGAGGTTCTGTGTTCCCAGCACTGCAAAACAAGGCAGATAGTTGTTAGAGGAGAATATTGATCCTGCCCCATGTGATTGATTGATAAGAGGCAGGTTTATAGAGTGCTGTGAGCTGATAACATTTTGCAGGGTCGAAGGTACCATTCCAGTTACTGTAATAGCACAGCGCACTTGCAGGCTTTTATATATGACCCTTTTTATGGAGTGTTTTTTACTGCCTCTGGCAACTCAGAGCATGAGTCTCTAATATTAAGGTTTTCAGCTATTAGTGGTGAGGCTGATATAAAGCTGCAGGAGCAGCAAGTCCCGTGGCGTTTAATATACCTCCATCAGAGTGTCTGTTAGTTATAATCAAAGGTTACGACAAGCAGGTACACTGCAGATCACATGAAGTAGTTATGTAATTTATCCTGATAAATATTTGGAGTGGAGCAGAATTGGCAACCAGGTTGGTGACCCTTCTGGTTTAAAACTGGTTAATCCGTTCCCAGGACTATCTGGGAGAATTTGTAGATTTAAGAAAAGGACACAATTGCCTTTCATTTTCATATGTGCACTTGTTTATGTGTTTGGAATAAAATCGTGCCTGTGCTACTTTAATGCACAAACTTGAAACAGAGGAAATGAATCCAGAAATAATTGTAATTCTTGGCCTTCTACGGGATCCATCACTTATCAAGGTTAGTAAGGTTATTGATAAATTTTCATTAGTAGGAAAGCAAACAAATGGTCCCACTCCCCGCTCTGCATCTGTCTTGCCCTTTCTCAGATTTTGGACTTGGCAAAGCTGTTTGGTAAGCTGATTTTCAAATTGCTGAATTGGAGCTTTTTTTGGACTCAGTACTTTATTTTCCTTCTCTTCCATGTCAAACTGATGTTTCTAGAATAAATCTCAGCCCTGACTTTGTGAGATTCTGCTGGCACACAACCTCTCCGTATTGGTGAATGTGGGTGAGGAAATCAAGACGAACAGACGCATGGTCCCTGTTTGCTTTGGACCATATTTTATGATGAATAAACTGGATGTTGCAAGTGGGCTGTCATGGCCTCCAGCACGAAGACAAACAGTGAACTTGTCAAAAAGGTAGCTTTTCAGAAGTGGCTTAAAGGGGAAAAGTGAGGTAAAGAGAAGGAATTTCAGAGTTTGGTGACTAAGCAACGAAAGATATGGCCGCTAATGGTGGAACAATTACAATTGGGAATGCACATGAATCCAGGATTAGAGGAATGTATATATTTCAGAGTGTTAAGGAATTGGTGGAAGTAACGGAGATAGCTAAGGCCATAGAGGATTTGGATAACCATTTTATAATGAAGATGTTATTTGATCTCAAGCTAAGATCAGCAAGACCAGGGGTAATAGGGGAACAAGATTTGCTATAAGTAGGTTGGTTGGCTCTGTTGGCTGCATGTCCAGTTTGCAATGCAGAGTGACACCGACACAATGGGTTTGAACACCATAACTAGCTGATGTTAGTGAGAAAGACCTGTTTTCTTAACACTGTCCCTCTCCTGATGTGTGGTGATCCTCAGGTTGAACTCATGCACTCCAATGAAAGAGCAGCCTATGGTCCTGTGGGATTTTGGCATCTTTCATTTCGCACGAGTTAAGTCACAGGCAGCAGTGTAAAACTATAGCAAAAAAAAATCTTTTCAAGAACGGAGTTGGAATTTACCTCCTCTGATAGTTTCTGCAGAGTGCATGTTCTTTGCGTTCTTTGGATTTTATTCCCTATTCCTTTGCACAGTTGCAATTTTGCAGCTGCAATCCAAATCGCAAAATGATGACAATAAGAGGTCCTATGAGATTATCTTTACTATTCCTCATGAAAGTTGAATTAAACAGGATGAAATGTGGGCACCACTTGTTATTGCACTAGCATCTGCATTTAGGGACCCACACAGTTGTATTTGGGCATATCATTGGAGACCTACCTTAGGTTCACAAGGAGACAGACGCAGCACTGAGCCAATTGCAGTCAAATCCATATCTGCGACAAAAGATGCAAAATGAAAGACACGGCATAAAGGTATCAGCATGTTTCTAAGACAAAAATAAGGCTGCATATATATTTGTTCATTCACAGGATGTAGGTGTTATTAGCCAGGCCAGGTTATACAGCCATTGTTGCGCTTGAGAATTTGAGTTGTCTTCTTGAACCACTGCAGTTTGTGTCATGTCTGAAAATAAAGTCACCAAAATCCCAGAGGAGCACTCTCTCATAAGAGACAGACAATTGTTGGTGAGTTTAATCTGACAGTCATCACACCTCAGGCAAGCGGCAAGGGGCAAGGCTGAGAAAGCTGAGCCTTCGCGGTAACCTCAGCCAATGCAGGAATTGAACCCACAGTGTTGGCATCACTCTGCATCTCCCCTATAAACTCTGATTTGTAAATGACAATTGCCACCCCCTTGAATTGGAATAGTTCCAACAAATACGGCACAGTTGCTCAGTGGTTAGCACTGCTGCCTCACATCACCAGGAACCTGGGTTCAATTCCATCCTCGGGTCACTGTCTGTGTGAAGTTTGCACATTCTCCCTGTGTCTGCGTGGGTTTCCACTGGGTGCTCTGGTTTCTTCCCACAGTGCAGAGATGTGCAGATTTTGTGGATTGGCCATGCTAAATTACCATTGTGTTCAGGGATGTACAAGCTAGGTGAATTAGCAATGGGAAATGCAGGGTTATAGGGGAGTGGGTCTGGGTATCATGCTATTCGGAAAGTTGGTGTGACCTTGATGGGCTGAATGACCATCTTTCACAGTGTAGCGATTCTATGAATATGCTGTTCTCAGCAATTATGTTGAGCTCCCTCCTTGAAGAACATATTGATGGCGAAATTGCCAGAGCACACAGCCATCTATTATTGCCTTAACTAACCCAGAGAACTGATTGTGTGAGGACATAAAGATTGAGTGAGATTTTGAGAATGCCTGTTCCACTGGTGGGGTCTTACACTCACCGTGTATGGCTGAGGACCTTTTGAGGAACTTTTGATGCAATGGAGCTTTGCAAAAGTAAACCCCGGAGTTTCTGGTGACAGTGTTGGCTCTGAGCATTGACCTCAACATTGATGTGATTTAGTATGAGGTCTTTGCACATCCCCCTCAAAAATGTTTCAACAACTTTCTTGCAACTAAAGAACTGGAGGGTGTGCTATAGCTTACAGGTTTTATTTCTTCATTTTTGTTTTTCTCTTAGGAGTTGTCACATTTGGAAATTCACAACAACAAAGCCTTTTTTTTCATTTGACCCTCGGTTCAACTGCCTTCAGTCGTTTTGGGGATTCGCTATCTTTACAGTGAAAATACAACTTTTACTGGAGCAAGTTATATTTCCCATCCCTTTCCACCTGTTTCTTTTCCAGAATTCATACCCACCTTCACTGGCCAATTCTGTTGCTGGCTCTAAATGCTGCACTGCTTTGTCAAATGCTGGAAGTGCAAGAGAAGTAAAAGGAAGGATTGAGTATTGCAATATCAGACCAAGCCAAAACTAGCCAAGACTGCCCCTGCTACTGATGGGCACCAGACCCAAATTTGCTTTCAATGTAAAATTAATGCTCTCGTTTTTTAGGACAAGCACTTTGCCATCAATATTCCTGTTGTGGATTTGTTTCCAGAAGCACAGCTTGCCTAAAGAAATGTAAAAAAAGGAGCAGGAGTCAGCCATTCAGCCCTTTGAGCCTGCTTTATCATTCAATAAGATCATGGCCATCCTTCAATTCAATTCGGTACCCTGTTTCTACTTTCTCCCCATAATCTTTGATCCCTTTAGAAATATCCTTCTTGAAAACAATGTTTGTCTTTTGGACAAGTATCTTCTTGAGTGGTGCAGTGGATGGACTCAGCAAATCAGGAACATCCTCCCATCCTTTAATATTTCAATCAGTCATTATTGTCATTTTTATGCCAAATAGGAAGAGAGATGAACAGGACTGGAAGGAGAGTAAACCTTCATTCCCATATAGGGCAGGTTGAAGGTGACTCATACTTCATATGGTAACTATTAACCAGCATTGTTAGATTCAATCCATTAATATCCTCAGATCTTCTGACAGCACTCATTTTTCTCAAGGGAGCATTGCTTCACCTGTCTTTGGATGGATTGGGATCTAGGTAATATGCAGGAAAAAATGGCAAAGTGTTAGGTTGAAATGTGACTTGAACAGACTGGAGCATGAAACATTGTGAATGCTACACGAAACACTGCCCTCTGTGAATGCAATGAATCATTCATCGCCCCTGGAAATACTGGAGTTGGCAGCCCCATTACTTCTTGGGCCTGTATTGTCACCATCAGTGAGTCAGAGTACTGGCTGGGTCTAACGCTGCGAGACAGAATCATTTCCAAGTTTGGCAGTTTGGCTCTTAGGAGATGAATGTTTATTTACTTAGGGGATTGCACTGACATGGCTGAGGGCTTGGGTTCTGATGGCAGTTGAAGAGTTGTGGATAAACAAGGAGTGTTAGTGGTCATTACAGCCTGAGATGTCCTAGACCCACATGCTAGCAAAATGCCACACTAGTTTTGCATTTGGAGGTAATTGTCAATGGTTCAATGCCTGATGTTATTAAATCACTCTCCTGATATTAGACCTGTGCTTCCTATGATAGCGAACAAGGGAATTATGTCAACCCTCTATAAATTTAGGTCCAATAAACAATTGATCCTCTTCCAGTGGGCATAAACTTTTGTGTGTGTTTGTTGTGTGTGTGTTTGTTGTGTGTATGTTTGTGTGCGTGTATGTGTGTGAGAGAGAGTGTGTGTTTGTGTGTGTGTATGTGTGTGTGAGAGAGAGTGTGTGTGTGTGTGTGTGTGTGTGAGAGAGTGAGAGAGAGAGACCTTTCATCTTTGTTACATACAACAACACTAGGTACAGCACACACCATGTCAAAGAGAATGATCTACACTTGCCTGGTACTTTGTGACTCACATGTGCCCCAGCATCAGTTCCAGTACATGTATAGTCAACACAGGGCAAAGTGGAACAATAGTGAACTTTTGAGTGGATATAAGGATAACAGATATATGAGGGTCATCAAGAAGTCAAAGGAAAAATGTAGAGACAGAACATGGACGGCCTCAGATCTAAATGACTACACTACTTTCATCACTGAATCTAAGTGACCAGCATTCATTTTAAAATTGCTTCATTGTTATTACTAGAATTTCTAAATTAATAATATGAGATAATCCCCACAATAAGTATCAGGATTAGTGCTTTGAAAGAAAAGCGTATTTTTTTGACTGTCTAATCATGAACTTGTAACGAATCTAGAGTAAAAATTGAAAATAAAAAGTGGGCAAAGCACCAAATGACTTGTGTGTAAAGTAAGAATTTCATAATATATGTATAGATTTGCATACATGTTTATAATTGATGTTATCTACATTGTGACAAATTCACAAGGCCATAAGAAATAGGAGTAGGATATGTAATTCGCTAATTGACTGTGATCCACTATTCACTCAGCTAATAGTTAATCTAATTGTGGTTTCATGCCCACTTTCTTACCTGATCCCCATAACTCCTGACTCCCTCATCAATCTAAAATCTGTCTAACTCAGTCTTAAATATATTAAGTGACCCAACCTCCCCTGTTCTTTGTGCAAGGGAATTCCAAAAACTAACAGCCCTCTGAGATTAAAAAAAACTCTTCATTTCTATCTTAAATGGGAAACCCTGTAATTTTAAACCGCTAGCCCGCAATCTTAGAATCTTATATGTTTGATATAAGTAATCCCATCTGCCTGCAGTTTGTTCATATCCCTCTACTCCATGCTTGTTCCTGTGTCTGATTAAAGGTCTCTTAAACATTGCTATCGCATCTTCTTCAATCACTTCCTCTGGCAGCACATTCCAGGTACCTACCACTCTCTGTGTAAAAGTCTTGCCTCTCACATCTCCTTTAAACTTTCCTCCTCTCACCCTAAACCCATGTCCCCTAATATATGACATTTCCACTTTGGGGAAGAATACCTGGACAGTATCCATTTCTCTTATAATTTTGTATACTTCTATCAGGTCGCCCTCAGCCTCTGATGCTCTAGTGAAAACAGTCCAAGTTTGTCCAACCTCTTCTTATAACTAATACATTCCAGTCCAGGCAACATCCTGGTAAACCTCTTTTACATCCTCTCCAAAGCCTTCACATCCTTCCTATAGCATGGTGACCAGAATTGCACACAATACTCCAAATGTGGCCGAACTAAAGTTTTATACAATTACAACATGATTTGCCAACTTTTGATGCAGTCTCACCAATGACCTGTGCAATTGTAGCAAGACTTTTCTACTTTTATTCCTCTCATAATTCCAGCCAGCATTCCATTTAAACTTCCTAATTATTTGTTGCACCTGCATATTAACATTTAATGATTCACACAAGAAGAGACCCAGGTTCTGTTCTATTGCAGCAGTTTACAGATTCTCTCAATTTAAGCAGTATTCTGCTTTTCAATTCTTCCTGCCAAAGCAGAATCACCTAAGATTTTTCCAAATTATACTCCATCTGTCAATTTTTACCCACTCACTTCACCTATCTGTGTTCATTTTCAGATGCTTTATCGTGACCTCATAACTAGCTTTCCTTTCTGCCTTTGCATCATCAACAAATTTGGTTACAATACAGCCTGTCCTCCCATTCAAGTTATTAACTTCTTGTAGCATATTTTTTTCTCAATGGAATATATTGTTGTTGAGTTATTAAAAATCTCATTACGTATCTGCCACTGCTTCTCTACTGGTTTTTGTTTAACCTATTTTCCCACTCATTTTAGACATCTCTGTCCTCACCACCTTGTAACTGATTGCTTTTATTTGTATGCCACAGAGCTGTTGCTGGTCTGATTGTCAGCTTAGCTTGTTGGTAAAGTCCTAAAATAAAACTAATAATTGCGGTTGCTGGAAATCTGAAACAAGAACAGGGATTGCTGGAGAAACTCAGTAGATCTGGTACCATCTGCAGAGAGAGAGAGAGCAGAGTC